CGGCGCTGCGGGGCTGCTGGGCTCCAGGGTGGAGCAGGGCTGGGGGCGCCGGGGCCGCCTCACACCCTGTGGTCCTTTTGGTCCCCTCGGCTGCCGGCCACTACAGACAGCGGGGTTAGGAGAGCATCTCTGCCCTGGAAGTCACACCTGTCGACTCAAAAATATTTTTACAGCCTCAAAGTTGAAAGTTTTATTTGGCAGGAATTTTTAGGACTTCAAGCTGGGAGGCAGCACGTCAAGTAACCCTGAGAGAACTGCTCCGTGAGCCAGCATATACAGGAGTTTTGCGACAAAGGGCAGGTAGTCTGGATGTCAAAAGATTGTTGTTAGTTAAAGAAAGACAGATATGTCAAGTTAAGGAATTTAGCGCTTTTGTGTGTATGGGAAGGTGCAAGAGTCTGGGCGGCTCACTGAAATCATTCCTTTGATGTGCACCTCAGCTATCTGGGCCAGTATCCTGTGTTTTCACATCCTGAGATTCCTCAGGGCTCACCTTTGTGAGTGGCTGCAGTCTGATGGCTGCTAGATGTCAGGTATTCTTTTCCTTCCTGAGTTCCCTCAGGGTTCACCAGCTCACCATGAGGTGGCTGATGCCTGTGACATCTTTTGTTTATTGATATGGCAGGCAATATTCCATTTATCAGTTCCTCCTCTTGGTCTGAAATTCGACCAATATTTGGAAGACATTTCATGACCAATTTTTGTCCCTTGGCGCTAGGAGGCTCATCCCAGATCTGGCGAAAATTCGTTTTGATACGTCACTCCAGGTGCTAATTTCTGGGTTAGGCCCTGTTGATAAAGATTCTCTGGATCCTCTGTCTTACTAGTCTATTATGATCCAGGAGATATTTTCCCTTGTTGCTTGTTCCCATACCTCGGATCACACTATTACAATTATTCTATGTAGAGTTACAAATGTGATTTATTTCCTCAAGATGTTTAGCCATCAATTTTCTTGGAGGCCTGGTTACACATTGAGTACTGTAAGAGACAGCAAAATAGGCAGGGTATAAGTAATGTAGGTAGTAACACTGACAAGGTCATAGTGCAGCAGGGAGACAAATCATAAACAATTTGGAAACAAAGACCAAATTAAAACAATGATTAGTATAACTAGTTGTAATCCAGTTGTATTGGGCTGGCCAAAAAGTTCGTTCGTTTTAAGTTAAAACACTTTTTTCCTTTTTTTTTTTTTTAACATTGAGCACTTACTTTGTGCCAGGCTCTTTTTTTTAAAATTTATTAATTAATTTATTTATTTTGGCTGCACCATGTCTTAGTTGCGGCACATGCCTTCGTTGAGGCATGTGGGATCTTTAGTTGCAGCATGTGGATCTTTTAGTTGCAGCATGTGGACTTCTTAGTTGCGGCATGCAGACTCTTAGTTGCAGCATGCATGCGAAATCTAGTTCCCCGACCAGGGATCAAACCCCAGGCCCCCTGCTTTGGGAGCTCGGAGTCTTACCCACTGGACAACCAGGGAAGTCCCAAGACACGTTTTTCATTTTCACAAAGAACTTTAGTGAACGACGTATTCACTAGCCGAACGAACTTTTTGGCCAACCCAATAATAAACCATCAAGTCCACAAGAGAGCCAGCTGGAGAAGCCAAATTCTGGAAGGATCAAGTAGAGAGAAAAAGATAAATGTTTCATCTTTGTTTACAAAGGTATGCTTTATCAACTTGTTGTAGGTCATAGCATAAGAGAAAAGGTTTTTCTGGAAAACAAAAGTTCATTCAGTCCCATGTAATTAATTCCTGTTGATCTGGATGAAGTAATCAGGTTTTCCATTAGAGTTTTGTCATTTGTTACCCAGTTCAGTGGTATTATCTAAAGGCTATCAGAAACTTACATCTGTTTAAAAGTTCTTTTTATGAGTCTTCTTGAAAATCTTCATTTTATAAAAGCATCAGTGTAAAATAATGATTGTCTGTAAAGGACAAAACTTAAAAGAGCATGGTTAAAGATTTGAGTACAGTGCAATTATCAGGAAACTGGATATTTCTGTGACATATAACATTTTAGAATAACTAGGATTATGGCTGATGACATTATATTAGATGTTAGGAATTTCATATAAATTTTGGAATAGCTATATTAGTAACATCTATCCATACACTATAACCTAAGGTTCATCTCCCATCACTTGACAATGTTTTGAAGTAAGTTAACATACCAAATAAACTTAGTTAGTGTAACATTCATCTCTGAGCTGTCTCAGGATGCTCCTTAAAGCACCCCAGAGTCAGTTGGAGGCTAAAAGAGACTTAGTTAGATTTTGATATTTGGGAAGTTTGTTAAAAATATCAAAAAGGTTTTAAAACACAACAGGATCATAGGTCTCTATGAAACAATACTTATTTAACCAAAGTCACAAAAAGATTAAAAAAAAAAATACAGATCACTTAAGGCCACAGAACCTCACGCAATCTGTTATCAAAAAGGAAAACTGAAAGAAATTTTGTTCAGCTTCCAGTCTTGTACTAGCTTACTAGTACAAATCCATGTACTTAATTAACTCCAATCTAAATTTAGTTAATCCCGACCATGCACAGAATTTTTTTTCCTCAATAAAATGTAATTCCATTCCTTATAACTAAAAACACACATCCTACTTTCCTACTGTGTACTGCAATGTTTCTCTTTTATTCCTATTAGCTTTAATTACGTGTTTAAATTAGAATCCTCAATTCTTTTTTTTTAAATTTAAATTCCCTTCATGAGTAATAACATCTTATGACTCTTAAATAAGCATATTATACACTTATTGACCATTTTGATACCCTCTTTTGTGAAAGAGGATCTTTCAAATCTATTGTCCTTTTTTCTTTTTCTTTTTTTTTGGCTGCCGTGGGTCTTTGTTGCTGCGTGTGGGCTTTCTCTAGTTGCGGCGAGCAGGGGCTACTCTTCGTTGCAGTGCGTGGGCCTCTCATTGCGGTGACTTCTCTTGTTGCGTAGTATGGGCTCTAGGTGTGTAGGGTCAGTAGTTGTGGCACGCGGGTCCTAGAGTGCGTGGGCTTCAGTAGTTGTGGCTCATGGGCTCTAGAGCGCAGGCTCAGTAGTTGTGGTGCACGGGCTTAGTTGCTCTGTGGCATGTGGGATCTTCTCAGACCAGGGCTCGAATCTGTGTCTCCTGCACTGACAGGCGGATTTTTAACCACTGCACCACCAGGGAAGCCCTCTATTGATTTTTACTCTCTATTTTACTTATTTCTTTTCTAATCTTTATGATTTTTAAGAAAATTTTTACTAACTGAGCTTTGTTCTTCTTTTTCCAGCTCCTCCGGGTGGAAGGTTAAGTTGTACAGTTCAGATTTTTCTTGTTTCCTATGATAAGTTTGTATCACTGTAAACTTCTCCTTTAGAACTGCTTTTTTTGCATCCTGTAGATTTGAACTGTTGTGTTTTCACTTTCATTTGTCTCTAGGTATTTTTTTTTTTCCTCTTTGATTTCTTCAGTGATCCATTGGTTGTTTAGTAGCATATTGTTTAGCCTCCATGTGTTTTGGGGTTTTTTTCAGTTATTTTCTTATAGTCAGTTTGTAGTTTCATAGCACTGTGTTTGGAAAATATATTTGATGTGATTTCAATTTTCTTAAATTTACTGAGGATTGTTTTGAGGCCTAGCATGTGATCTATCCTGGAGAAAGTTCCATGTACACTTGAAAAGGAACTGTATTCTACTGCTTTTGGAGGGAATGTGCCATATATGTATATATCCGTCCATCTGGTATAATGTGTCATTTAAGGCCAGAGTTTCCATATTGATTTTCTGTCTGGATGACCTGTTCATTGTTATAAGTGGGGTTTTAAAGTTCCCTATTTTTATTTTGTTACTGTCAATTTCTCTCTTTATGTCAGTTAATATTTGCTTTATGTGTTCATGTGCTCCTATATTGGGTGCATAAATACTTAGTTTTTATATCTTCTTCTTGGATTGATCACTTGATCATTATGTAGTGTCCTTCTTTATCTCTTGTAACAGTCCTTATTTTAAATCTAATTTGTCTGGGAGTTCCCTGGTGGTCCAGTGGTTAGGACTTGGCTTTCACTGCCGAAGACTGGGTTCAATCCCTGGTCGGGGAACTAAGATCCCAGAAGCTTTGCAGCCAAAAAAAAAAAAAAAAGGCTCTTTTAAAAATCACTAAAATCTTGAAGACATTGGTACGTGGAGCCTGAAACACTTATTGGGGTATACTAAAAGATTTGAAAAACGAAAACTGGAACTACCATATTACCCAGTGATTCCACTCCTGGGTGTATATCCAAAAATACCCACAAAACACTGTTTCAAAAAGATGTACCCCAATGTTCATAGCAGCACTATTTACAATTGCCATGATATAAGAGCAACCTCAGTGTCCATCAACCAATGAATGGATAAAGAACAGGTGGTATGTGTATATATATATAAAAAAAATATTACTCAGCTATGAAAATATGAAATTTTGCCATTTCCAGCAACATGGATGGACTTGGAGGACATTATGCTAAGTGAAATGTCAGACAGAGAAAGGAAAATACTGTATGATATCACTTATACGTGGAATCTAAAAATGCAACAAACTAGTGAATATAACAATAAAACAAAATCAGACTCACAGATACTGAGAACAAACTAGTGGGGACCAGTGGTGAGGTGGGAGGGGTACTATAGGGGGTGGGGAGAGAGAGGTAGAAACTCTTGGGTGTAGGACAGGCTCAAGGATGTATTGGACAACGTGGGGAAATAGACAATATTTTATAATGAATGTAAATGGAAACTAACCTTTAAAAATTGAAAAAAATTTTTTAATAAAATTTTCAAAAGATTCAATATTCTCAAAGAATATTCGAAAAGTAGATATGCATTTCTCTAATTTTTACCTTAATGAATGCACTTTAAAGATGTGAGAAAGTATAAATATGTGACAAGGGTGGGGGGAGAACAAACTGTGGCACCACAATTTATAACACACACACATAGACACACACGCAATCAACAAAAAATTCTGATCTGTTGATTCAGTTATAATATGCTTTATTAACATAGATCATGACTTCCTTTGTGAATCATCAAATATGCATTCATGGCATCATTTTCAAAGGCTTCTGTCCATTCCCAACACAAAGTGTTAATCCACCCTCCACTGCTGCCTTTGATTTACTTTCAGACAAATCTGTGATGCAAACGACTCCATGCTCTGAATCTTTTGGGGTATGGGCTCTCAGCTCCCCTGAGGACAGGTGGTCATGCCCTCCTCCCGAGTACTCCTGCTGGTCAAGTGGGCCCTGAGAGGAGAGGGGGCTAAAGGACCTGAGGACTAAGGGTAGATTAAGGGTATCTTTGGGTAGATTTCTAAGGGCCACCCTCACACAACCCTAAACCCAGCATGTGATCCCCACCAACCCAGCAGCGTGTCCCCTAGGCAACAGCAAGCCCATACCTATTCCGGAAGGAGCTCAGCCCCTACGAATCAGGCCCAGGGAACCTGCACTTCTGGAAGTTCTTACCCCAGACCTTCACGCTACTCAGTGGTCTCAGGTGCCCTCTGCCATATAGCTCTAGCTCAGTGCTACTGAATACGGGTCTGACAGAGTAACATCGGCACCAACAAAAAGCTTGTTAAAGATGTCATTTCATGAGCCTCACAGGAGAATCATAATTAAGAGTGGGGCCTGGGCTCCCCCCAAATTTGTAAGCACTTTAAAGCTTTGGAAGAAATGTTTGCTACGTGGCTCCCATGCAGTTTCTCATTAGTATTACATGATGAGTATTTAGCAATAACATCACCTGTACCCTCCCCACAGAATCTATTGATCTGGGTGGGAGCATCTGCGTTGTTTTAACTCCAGGTGATTCAAAGTTTAGGCCCGGTTTAAGCATGAGGGCTGCTTGGGTACCTTGATGAGAGTTGCTTCCAGTCTTTGGTCCTTTTGCCTCTGGGGAGGTATCGGTGTCTGCTCTACGTGGGATTGGAAGGGGCAGGGCGGTGCAGCCCACTTGCTCTATGCTGTAGCAGAGTTTCTGGGCATCTGTGTGAGGGGAGAGCACGTGCAGACAGGAAAGAAAAAGCTCACAGTTTGGTCTCCACGCGGGAGCTCATTGTTCCTGAATCTCTCTTTTTCTGAAGGTTGGCATTTCAGCGTTTCAAGGTCTTTTGCCTGTGGGTATGGTGGGAACAGGTGAAGGAGCTGTGCTGTTGCCGTTGAAGGCATATTCTCAAGATGCTGATGGGATTCCTCAACATGATATCAATGAGAAAATGATCAAGAGCAGGAGGTAGAAGAGGACGAAATGGCAGCTTCTCAGGTAAATATCCTGTCCTGGGTCAGAGGCTGTGTCTTCTTTTCCTCCTGAAATGTCATGGATTGAGAACCTGCAAACCTTTCACTTTCTAATTCTGACGTTCCTCCCTAGCAAGGTTGTTTTCAACTACTTGTTTTTTTCCTTCTTATGATAGTCATAGTCAGCTCTTCAGAATATTTCTCCCCTGTTTTCCAGAGCCTTTTCCCCATTGTCTGCATCCAGGCTCCCTATAGAGCACGGAGAATTCTCACCATGAATTAATGACCTTCAACTATCGAAATTCCTATTCCTTTTGTGAAAGATCAACATGGGAAAGCATTAGTATCCAAACTTCCCTATGGGATAATTTCAGGTGTTGAGATATTAGTGAAGAAGGGGAAATGGAATGATTAATGTACATCTGAATGCAACATCAACTTATCACAACAGGATTAAGAAAATGCACTTTTAAATGGGATGGCATTAGTGCTCCAGATAACTCAAAGTTCTGAAAAAAAAAGTAATTAGGAGAGACTTGCTCTGTATATTGATAAGAAAAACTATTTAAATACAGCATTAGAGTCAGAGAACATGGGAGGTATATGTGGACTGAAATTTGCATAAAACTGACATTTTTTTCGTGATAGATTCAGGTTATGTTTTTCTTATGTATTTTGCCCAGAATACCACAGCAGTGATAATGTGTCTTGTGTGCTTCAGTCACCTGATAATCATTTGTCCCATTACTCCTGCTGTTCACTGGTTCAGGTGCTTTCTGCAAGATTCCTTTGCTATGAAGCTCATATATTTCTTGTATCTTTAGTAAGGATTTGGTGTGATTCGCTGAGAAATGTGCATAAGCCATCATGGTAGATCTGGAAACTCGAATTTCTTCTTAGTTTTCCTTTGCTTGTAGTTTGCTTTGAAAAATAAACATTATCACCTTTGTTTATTAAAGACATTGGCTTTTCAAGTGGAGTCTGTAGTCAGTCAAGCCTTGCTCTTGTAAGTTTCCATTATACTCCACACTCATGCAACAGACATATGGTTCTTTTTCACTTCTTTGTATTTTGAAGAAAGTTTACAAGAATCATTTTATTAATGTATGCTCAATTGTGTTAAATTTCTGAAATATAGCCCAACTCAAATGATAAATATTTTCAGACATCAAAGATTCAGAACCAATAGCTCTAACTTATTGTATATCGTTGAGTGTATGTCTCCCCAAGTAAATTTATAAAATGCAAAGTGTATCATCCACAAATAGCTTCGTAAGATTTATCCAGTTAAAAATAGTTAGTATTAATTCTTCTTTAAAAGTCTGGTAGGATTCACCAGTGAAGCCATCTAGTCCTGGTATTTTTTTGTTGGGAGGTTTTTGAGAACTGATTCAATGTCCTTAATAGTAATTTTGTCAGTTTGCGATTATTTTATTTCTTAATGATTCAGTCTTTTTATTTTATTTATTTATTTATTTATTTTTGCGGTACGCGGGCCTCTCACTGTTGTGGCCTCTCCCGTTGCGGAGCACAGGCTCCGGACGCACAGGCTCAGCGGCCATGGCTCACGGGCCCAGCTGCTGCGCGGCATGCGGGATCTTCCCAGACCGGGGCACGAACCCGTGTCCCCTGCATCGGCAGGCGGACTCTCAACCACTGCGCCACCAGGGAAGCCCTATTTTGTATTTTTTAACTCTTTCTTTGGCCCATTGATTCCTTAGGATTGTGTTGTTTAATTTCCACATATTTGTATATTTTCCAGACTCTGTCCTGTTGTTCATTTATGGTTTCTTACCATTGTGGTTGAAAAAATACTTAGTAAATGAAGTAAATCAGAAAGAGAAAGACATATCATATGTTATCTCTTATGTGGAATCTAAAATATGACACAAATGAACCTACCTATGAAACAGAAACAGAAGCACGGGCATGGAGAACTGACTGGTGGTTGCCAAGGGGGAGGGGTTTGTGGGACAGTGGAGTGGGAGTTGGATTTAGCAGATGTAAGATTTTATATATAGAACAGATAAAACAACAAGGTCCAACTGTATAGCACAGAGAACTATATTCAATATTATATGGTAAACCATAATGGAAAAGAATATTAAAAATATAAAAATATTAAGAATGTGTATGTGTGTGTGTATATATATATATATGTAACTGAATCACTAAAAAAATACTTAGTATGATATCAGTCTTCTTAAATTTGCTAAGACTTGTTTAGTGACCCATCACATGATCTGTCCTAGAGAACGTTCAATGTGCAGTAGAGAAGAGCATGTATTCTGCTGCTGTTGGATGGACTGTTCTGTTTTTGTCTGTTAAGTCCATTTGGTCTAATGTATTATTCAAGTTCAATACTTCCGTATTGATTTTCTTTCTGGATGATCTATTCATTGTTGAATGGTGGGTATTAAGGACCCCCTACACTTTTTTTGTATTGTCTAGTTCTCTCTTCAATCTGTTAGTATTTGTTTAATACATTAAGGTCCTCCACTGTTGGGTGCATATTTATTTGAGTGTTGTCTTCTTGATGAATTGACAACATAATCATTATATAATGACCTTAAATTTTTTCTTCTTGCAGCTTTTGCCTTAAAGTCTATTTTGTCTGGTATTTTGTCTGGTGTAACTCTAGCTACCACTGCTTTCTTTTGGTTTCCACATGTATGGAATATCTTCTTCTAAACTTCACTTTGAGCCAATTTGTGTTTTTAACCCTGAAGTGAATCTCTGGTAGGCAGCACACAGTTTGATCTTGTATTTTTATCTATCTAGCCACTCTGTGGCTTTTGACTAGAGAATTTAATATATCTCTGTTTATAGTAATTATTGATAGGTAAGGACTTACCACGGCCATCTTATTGTTTCCTGGATGTTTTGTTGTTTCTTGTTCCTTTTTTCCTCTTTTGCTGCCTTTCTTTGTGAATTAGTGATACCCTGTAGTGGTATGTGATGATTTCCTTCTCTTTATATTTTCTGAATCTACTGTAGGTTTTTGCTTTGTGGTTCCATGAGGCTCATGGAAAATGTCTTGTAGATACACCAGTCTATTTTATGTTGATAACAATTTAACTTCCATCAGATACAAAAAATCTACTCTTTTACTCCCATCCGCGAATTTTTGTATATGGTGTTACAATTTACCTCTTTGTATACTGTTTACACGTTAAAATTATTATAGCTGCAGTTATTTTTAATAATCTAATTCTTTAACCTTTATATACTAAATTTAACTGTTTAACATGCCACCATATCACACTATTAAAGTATTCTTACCTAACTATATACTTACAAGTCTATTGTGTATCCTCATATGTTTTCATGGTCCTATTTAGTGTCCTTCTATTTTAGCTTGAGGAACTCTTACAATTTCTTCTAAGACAGATCTAGTGATGATGAACTCCCTCAGCTTTTGTTTTTTGAAAAGAGTTTTTAATCTCTTCATTTAAGAAGGATAGTTATGATGGATAGAATATTCTTGGTTGGCAGGGGGTTTTTTGTTGTTTGTTTTTTTAATTGAGCAATTTGAAAATATCATCCCACTCTCTCCTGGTCTGTGAGGTTTTTCTGCTGAGAAATCAAATTTTAATCTTATGAAGGTTCTCTTGTAAGTTATAAGCCTCTCTCCTCCTGATGCTTTTAAGATTCTTTGTTTTTGATAGTTGACAATTTTACTATAATGTGTTTTGGAGAAGAATTTTTTTTGAGTTAAGTTTGTCTGGTACCCTATGAACTTCATGAACTTGGATATCCAAATCTATTCCCTGACATGGAAAGTTCTCAGCCACTATTTATTTAAATAAGCCTTCTGTCTATATCTTTTCCTTCTAAAACTCCATAATTTATAGGACGTTTCTTTTGATGGTATCTATAGATCACATAGTCATTCTTCACTCTTTATCTTTGCTCTCCTCTGAGTGTATACTTTCAACTTACTGTCTGCTAACTCATGGAAAATTTCTTCTGCTTGATCTGTTTTGATATTGATGATGCTTATTGCATTTTTTTCTTGTAATATATTGAACACATAATATTATTTGAATTTAAGGCGTACAGCATGGTGATTTGATACATTTACATATTATACTATGATTGCCATTGTAGCAATATTTATCACCTCTATCATGTCACATAATCATTATTTCTTTTTTTAAAATTTTTATTGGAGTATAGTTGCTTTACAATGTTGTGTTAGTTTCTGCTGTACAGCAGAATGAATCAGCTATACGTATACGTATATCCCCTCCTTTTTGGGTTTCTTTCCCATTTAGGTCACCACAGAGCATTGAGTAGAGTTCCCTGTGCTATACAGTAGGTTCTCATTAGTTATCTATTTTATACATAGTACTGTAGATATGTCAATCCCAATCTCCCAATTCATCCCACCCCCCCTTTTTCCCCCGTAGTGTCCATACATTTGTTCTCCAAGTCTGTGTCTCCATTTCTGCTTTGCAAATTCGTTCATCTGTACCATTTTTCTAGGTTCCACATATATGTGTTAATATACCATATTTGTTTTTCTCTTTCTGACTTACTTCACTCTGTATGACTGTCTCTGGGTCCATTCACGTCTCTGCAAATGGCACAATTTCATTCCGTCTTATGGCTGAGTAATATTCCATTGTATATATGTACCAGGCCTTCTTTATCTATTCCTCTGTTGATGGACATTTAGGTTGCTTCCATGTCCTGGCTACTTTAAATAGTGCTACAATGAACATTGGAGTGCATGTACCTTTTTTAATTATAGTTTTCTCTGGGTATATGCCAAGGAGTGGGATTACTATGTCATACGGTAGCTCTATTTTTAGTTTTTTAAGGAACCTCCATACTCTTCTCCATAGTGGCTGTATCAATTTACATTCCCACCAACAGTGTGAGAGGGTTCCCTTTTCTCCACACCCTCTCCAGCGTTTATTGTTTGTAGATTTTGTTTGTTTGTTTTGGCTGTGCTGGGTCTTCCTTGCGGCATGTGGGCTCTTCTTTGCGGCGAGTGGGCTCTCTAGTTGTAGCATGCGG